ATCTAACATCTAGCCTTCTCGGATAAGGATTAAAAACCTCAGAGGTCTCGTGTGCAAGTTGCACACATCAAAGATCCCTTGGTGGTCCTAAGATTGATAAGAGTAGGCTTTGACCGTCACCCGGACGAATTTCAAAATTCTTACTAAACTGAAAATGATTAGTGTGTTCGGCGCACCCAATTAGTGTGTTCAGCGCACCCATCTGACCTTATGCAATTGCGAGCGCCGTAAAAAATTACCAAAACAAAAGATAGGGGGAAAACACGTGCTTGAACCTTTGCCTTCCGAGCGATCTGCTGTTTAAACTCAAACCCTTGCATTTTTCTCAACGTGATTCATTGAGGTCTCACTTATTCTTCAACGTCGATCCATACCCTTCAAAATCGTATTTTTAGGGGGGGGGGCTGTTATATGCTCTACAAAACTCTCGGTACAAGTATTGCAAAAGAAAAACTTGGCCTTGAAGCATTAGATTCTAGGACGTCTTTTACTCAGTCAGGATGTTTCTGAACCCCGTTCGGAAATAATGATATTCCTGTAGGAGAGAAAAGCATAATTTGGACCCCCTCGAGGATTCGAGTTTCGAAGTTTCTCGCGGCTTTTATCCTCGCCCAACTAAGCAGCATCAGTTGGCGACTTGACTTGCATTCGTATAAACATGAGCGGAAAACAGATTTAATATTATGCAGGAAATTGCTTTCAAAATATTGACAAGGGGAAGACTTTTTCCGGATAAAAGATATCTTTGACCGTATCAGGCCATGGTGTCAACTTTTATTTTCTTCTTGTTCCTTTCTTTTTTAAATTTCTGTGCAGCATGTCCTTTTAGAGACTCTCTTATATTAATTCTTAGTATACAGTGCTATGCGTCCAGCTTTGGTGACACTTGTCTCCAGCTGCTCACATCCTCTTTTGAGACGTCCTCTCCCTCGTTTTTCGAAAACATTTCCAAACTGCTGTGACCCTTCTTTAGTGTCCCATGTTCTGATTTTACAAAGGTGCCAATTTATTTAAAATTTTAAGCTTTTTAAACTTGAGACGTCTGTTACCTTCTATGTACGCTAATCTTATGATAATATTTCTCCAAATCAGATTGAAAGTCCGAGGTCACTGCATGTTCTGGGCTGTCGATGGGAACAACCCTGACTGGACGGAAACACTGTCTAGCTCTGCTCTAAAGAATGCTGTGGATGACCGTATCGCTTTCATAACTTCACTTACAAAACACAAGTGAGGATTTTCTCTACACTTTTGTTTTGAAATCATTAAATTTCTGGCTGTTTCGTTACTGAATATGCTTCTTGTTTTTTAAGAGGATATTATGAAGACATGTTCCTAAACGCAGTAATCTTTAGATCATCTTTAAGTATCTTTTTAGCTTCCCACTTAATGCAAACTAATATAAAAATTATTTGATATTTAAGTTTTCTGTCCGGACTCATTAAAGCAGCGAATGCTTTGAAACTGAAAATAAAATGGCAACATTTAAATATTACTCGTATCGTGATTTATAAAAGTGAAATGCTGACGTCCTGGTTTTGAACTCCTTTCTGAACCTTTATCATTTTTAGCTCTGCTCTTCCATATTTAAGCAAAGCATTACCTAAATATCCCCCACCTTTGAAAGAATCGGGAAGTGTTTTCAAAATTGAGCTCCAGTCAAACTAGATTTTATCACACTGCTGACAACGGTCACTCACCCCGGGGCGAGTGTAATTGCTGAGAGTGGCCAACAGGTAGCTCCTATTTCTTAACTTTCCTCCGTTTGTTTCTTCAAACTGGTCTTGCTTTTTCCCCTGCTCCAAAAGACCGTTATTATGTCCATGTGCCTATCTCTACCCCACCAAAACATCACCAGGCTGAAACAATGGGATGTGAACAACGAGTTGTTACACGGTCACTTCTTCGAAGAGCACACAGGAAACCCTCGCTACACAGAGCACATGTTCCAGGCAGTCCACGCGGCTGACCCATACCCCAAACTCTTCCTCAATGATTACAGCGTGGTGTCTCATGGTGACATGACACAGGTAAATGTTCTACTTTTGAAACTGTCCAACTTTCGTAGGGGATACTTCTGGAGGACTCAACTTATCAGCAAATTTTGAATTCTAACCAAACTTTGTAAGTAAATCATAAAATCCGGGTTGTCAGTTCCTGTTCTAATCGTATGTTGTTTCTTAAAAGTTAAGTTCTGATCATGGTAAAGTAACCCTTGGATCTTATGTCGATGTACATTTTTTTCTTTTCTCCATTCATAGACATACATCTCAGTAGCCATATTCGATTATTTCAAATGTGAAGGCGAACCTAACAGTCTCAGTTGGACTAAACTGTTGAGAAAGATACATATTTTCCCATGACACCTAGGGGGTGTTGAGGGGATGTGTATTATTTTTTCTCATTTTCCCTTGCTTTTTATTCTTTTTTATTTCAGACTAACCCAAATTACGACGTAGCTGTAGCAGCCACCGATGCTCTCAATAGACACGGGTAAATAAACGTGTTGTATGGATTGATGTGTTCAGATCTTGACAACTGTCTATTTGTTGCTCTGGAAGTTCTGTAACATTTTAACGTATCAGAGATAATGGGAAAGGGGTTGGGGAGCTTTCGTGGTCTGGAGGTTACGATGTTCGCCTCTTATTCAATAAGTCCAGCGTTCGAAACCTGACAGTGACAGAAAATGTTCTTCCCTAAAAGGTTCTCCTTTTGCCTCCTTTCCTGCTCTCTAACCATGTTCTGTCGTTTGCTTTCCTCTCTATTTTCTTCCCGCCCACCCCCACCCCCCACCCAATTTCCTTTTGCCCCTTCCTCAGGGCTCCTGACTCTTTCTGCAGCCTTTCTACTGCTAGTCCTTGGCTCCTTCTTAACTGCTGTCTTTCAGTTACACCCCTGATCTTATGGTAGGTAATATCTAACATCTAGCCTTCTCGGATAAGGATTAAAAACCTCAGAGGTCTCGTGTGCAAGTTGCACACATCAAAGATCCCTTGGTGGTCCTAAGATT